TAGAAAGAACATTGTTAATAAATCGTCATATAAAACATAAACCCAAAACCATCTCACCTAAAAACTGACCCATCCAATCTCTCCTCTCTGCCGTCATACTGAAACGATATCCGTAGATATCAGCACGGGAATTAAAAATAAACAAATATTACTCAGTCTATTACTCCCTCCTCAACCTATTGTTACAGGTAAAATCATCGATTACATCTAATCACGATCAACCTGTGACACCACGACCGAATTGTTTTTCTGATTTGTCACTATAAAAACTAGTCATCCTGATTTCGTGATGTATGCATGTGGAAAAGATACAAAATGAGCTCACTTTGAACACAAATATCAGACATTTTGTTGATCGATTATCAGATGATTTTTGAATGCTGAGTTTTCATAGGGTGTCCCTGTTTATTTGTACTTCTCACCCAATTTCTCATACTATGCTGATTAAACTAACAAAATGTAAACTTCAGACTAATCAGATCAGGTAATTGCATTGTAACAGCTCCATGAATAATCAATTATTTAAACTGACGAACGTGAGAATTTTAACTAATCAGATCAGACAGTTTCATCGATCAAATTCCTTATATTTATTTAACTTACGAAACGTGAAAATTTTAACTAACCAGATCGGGCAATTCCATTGAACAGTCACTGATCGAACTCATTAAACTAACGAAATGTAAAAATTCTAACTGGCAGTTAAAACATCTGCCGTGAATGATCGAATTTTTACATGCTCTGCAATACTAATGCTAAGAATTATTGCGATGAAACAGTTTCTAAATTGTGCTGATTTTACAGTTTTCATACTCCTGACTAATATAAAAATGCTGACATCACAACACGCACATCCACAATTGCCTTCACCTAATAATTCATTTGTCACATAACTCGTACCAAGATCTTGTGACTTGTTTGAAAAATTATAAATACAAAACCAACGAAAATTAATCTTTATAAATTATAATGTCACAGGGTCGTCCAGCTTCTGAAATCTGTGGCCATTTTAAGCCTTTAAATGAACAAATTTCTCAAGAACGTGGTCTTTCAACAGGATGCCAAGTTTGTAAATGGTGCGACAAAGATATTGTTGATTTAGTTGATCAGTTTAAAGACTATTTGTCCAAATGCTGCAAGTTTCCATCCAAACTTCGAGAATCTACTAATTTGATTACAAGTGTAGATCATTGAAATAGCTCTTCAAGTATGCCAACTGTTGCCTCATCATCACAATCAGATGAACACAAAATTCTCCAACCTAAACGAACATGTACACAACCAATTGATACATTTTTGGATCATATAACTCAAAGTGACAAAGCTCTTTTCGACCAAAAACTAGCAAAGTTTTTTTACTCTGCCAACATCCCTTTTAATGCAGCCAAAAATTACTACTTTATTGATTTTATGCAAACTCTAAGATCAGCTTATAAATTGTCTAGTCGTCAACTACTAGCAAATTGACTATTAGATGATGAATATGAAAAGAAACGTAATAATTTGAATGAAATGCTTGAAAATGCAAATAACATAACACTGATATCAGATGGATGGTAAAATCAATTTTTATTATATTTTTTGTATATTAACAAAATTTTTAATCAAATTAATTTAATTATAAGGTCTAATATTCGTGGAGAATCAGTTTTAAACTTTATATTATGTTTACCGCAACCAATTTTTTATGATGCTCACTATACTGGAGCTGAATCTCATACTGCTGAATTTATATATGGAAAGCTCAAATCAGTTATTGAAGACATTGAACCATCCAAATTTGCTGTAATCATTACTGATAATGCAAGTACAATGCGAGCTATATGAAGATTGTTAAATGATGACTATCCAATATTAATTTGTTTGGGATGCAATTCACATATTGGAAATCTATTGGTTAAAGATATACTCAAGCTTGAACAATCAATAGACAAAACAAAAGAAATTATCTTTTTTTTTGAAATCATCATCGAGCTGGTGCTATTTTACAACAAGAACCTAACACAATTGCACTAGTAAAGCCAGTTGATACATGTTGGGGTACTTGTCTTGATGCAATTTAATTAATTCTACGTTGCAAAGTCACAATTCAAACTTCTGTTGTGCAACCTGTAGTTACTTCAACAATCAAACGTAATCTAAAAGACAAAATTCTTGGTGAAGAATTGTGGAGCGAATTGGAAAAGCAGAATGTCTTTTAGAACCATTTGTCAAACTTATCAAGATTTTTGAATCAGATACACCTTTACTCTCACGTGTATATACAGAATGGAATAAACTTCAGATAATAATTGATAATTTGGATCTTGATTTGCTATAAAAAAATGAAATTAAAGATCTGATTGATACACGATTTGAATTTGCTTTTCATCTGACAATGGCTTTGGCAAATCTTTTAGATCCAATGTAAGTATAAAATAATTATTTATATTAAATTAATATTTTTAATTTAAGGTATCATGAAGATTCTTTAAAATCAAATGAATTACAAGATGTAATTATACCTTATTTGGAAGAAATTTATTCAACAGAAAATGTAG